GGAGACAGATGACGAAAATACTTATTAACTGTATTAAAGAACTATGTATGAAACAAGTTAAGAGGAATCAGATAATATACATATAAGGAAAATTCAGATCATATAATAAGAAAGATACCTTGATAGGTAAACTGTATTGGAATTCTGTAAACAGTTTATTATTTAAATGGGTTATATGATAGGAGGTCATGTTGCAGCATACAAGTCCTATCTTGGATCTACAGAGAATGGTTTAGCGCAGTATTTTTTAAACTAAAGGTCACGATCCTTTTAGTGAGTCATGCAGTCAGCTTCGTTAATCCAACCAACACTTAGGGACACCTAGGTGGCTCAGTTGGTTAAGTGTCTGCCTTCAGCTTAGGTCATGATTCCAGGATCCTGAGATTGAGCCCTTGCTCAGCAGGAAGCCTGCTTCTCCCTCTCTCCCCTGCTCGTGCTCTATCTCTCGCTATCTCAAATAAATAAATAAAATCTTTAAAAAAAAAATTTAACCAACACTTAAAATGAGGAAGAAACAGAAATGGAGTAGAATAGAACAATGGAAATGATCAGTGAATGTCTCACATGGTAAAACTGTACAAGAAGCTTTTGTTCCTATTTCATATATGTGCATATGTTATGTGTACATGTACTGGTCCACGATGTAAACTGTACTTCTTACTGTGGATCATGCTAAAAAACTTGAAAGCCACTGGCCTAGCTGATTTAGTCATACAATTGTCTAAGTGCTTATTATTCCTTATAAATTTCAGGGATCTTCTGAAAAATTACTACACACATAAACCAGGAACAGTGTGAAATAAGGAATGATTTTTCCAAATAACTAATTTGCTCAAATAGACAGATCTCTGGGCCATGTCTCAAAAGCATTCTGAATATAGTTTCATGTCAGTGCCCCCCCAAATTAAAAATTTTGCTAAGTATAATTAAAAGACTGTAAACTGAATGTAAAATGTTTTGGTCACTATGGAAAAGAGCTTGGCAAATTTCTCAAAAAGTTAACACAGAATTGTCATATGACCCTGAAATTCCATTCCTAGGTATATACCTCAAAGAACTGAAAACAAGGACTCAAACAAGTACATGTACATGCATGTTCACAGCAGCTCTATTCACAACAGCCAAAGGTGGAAATAGCCCCAATGTCCTTCAGTGGATGAATGGATAAACCAGTTGTGGCATATACATACAATAGGATATTATTCAGTTATAAAAAGAAATGAAGTAATGACACATGCTACAATGTGGATGAACCTCCAAGACATTATGCGAAGTGAAAGAAGCCAGACACAAAAGGTCACATACTGTATGATCCCTTTTATATGAAATATCCAGAAGAGGTGAATCCATGGAGCTAGCACACAGACTGGTGATTGCCAGGGGCCAGGGGAATGGGAGCATGAAGATAAATGCTTAATGGGTAAGGGACTTTACTTGGGATTGATGGAAATATTTTGGAACGAGACAGAGGTGCTAGTTGCATAAAATCATGAATGTAATTAATGCCACTGAACTGTTCACTTGAAAACAGTTACTTTTATGTTATGTGAAATTCACTTCACTAAATTATTAAAAAATAAGACTATAGGGAGATGTAAATACTAGTAACACAAATATACAGAATCTGGAGGGCAATTCTTTCTCAAGATATTAGAAACTGAATAAAAAATGGATACCTTTATTTTTTCCTCAAAAATATTTTTATTAAAAAGAGGGTCACATAGAAATAGTACTAACTGAACTAGAGGCTAAACAGAAAAATAAACGGTAGACAATTATACATCTCTGAGAGAAAACTGACAGGTACATCTTTTAAAAATCAAAATTCAGCAAGAGAGGAAACATTCTTCTTAAATACAAAGGAGAAAATAAGGAAGTCAGAACTTTTAGATAGAACTTTGGACTTTAAGGAAGGGGAAAGTCAACCAGTCTTCTGGTTTTCAGTTTAACTTACGAATCTTCTCTTTAAAGAAAGCAAACAAACAAACAAAACCCAAAATACCCCCCAAAAAATAAAAACAAAAAAACAACAAAACAACAGGTGCATAAGGAGATGACAGGAGGCAAATACTTTGCTCTTTGTTTGGAGGAAATTATTTTTATAATTACAATATGAATCTGCCTCTGGAGAGAGTCCACTACCAGAATCCTGGTACAGGCTGTATACCCTTTCAGGGGGTATGCTGTGGAGGAGGATAGCTATTGAGACTAGATCAAGGTTTTTCAAACTTTGATCAACAGAACCCTAAAAATCCATGAGGCTGCTACAGTGAGAGGGTGAGCGGAGAAATGCGAGGCGGAGCTATTGATGCCCCAGGCCTCTGTACTTGCTTCATTAAGATGAAGTTTGTTTTTACCTTTTAAATATTGGGATTCCATGTTAGGACTTCACTTGGAAAAAAATTCTACTGCTAAAGGAAAGTTTGAAAAACATCAAAGGGTCCTAAACCTGGCTGCTCAACAGAATTACTAAAAGAGCTTTTTCAAATTACAAAGTCCTGGGCCATACCTCCTAGACCTAGTGAAATAACTCCCCAAGGGATTCCTGTGCAGCATCCCAAAGCTAGCCCACAGTGCTTGAGGGGCATTGACCCAGAGGACCCTTGCTTCCCTGAGAGCCTATGACAAAACAGAACTTAAATGGATAGGCAGGAACCTTAAACAAAAGAGTTGATGGTAGCAGACAGAAAAAGAGAACTCAGACTAACTCACTAGACTCTAATGAAGAATAAAAAATTGGTAAACAAATAGCTTGTCTAGGACCAGAAGTTCCTGTGGAGGTTTAATTGCTTGGCAATGATCTCACAGCCTACTGCAACTGTCCATATTGGTGATGGCAGGCAAAGTAGTTTAATTCAGCAACTGTCCAACAAAGTATAATGTCAGCCACAGATGTAATTTAAAATCTTCTAGTATCCATGTTTAAAAAAACTAAAAGAAATGAAATTTTAATAATATATTTTAATTCAGTATGTCCAAAATAATATCAACATGCAGTTCAGTATAAAAATTGTTAATAATGTATTTTACCTTTTCTTTTTGTACTGTCGTTTTTTTTTCAGCTAAGACAGAAGAGATGATTTATTGTACATGTGTTATATTCACATAAATGAAAACAGGATTAGTCTTGAAAGTCACAGGTCCAGGGCAAAAGACCAAAAGGGAATGTTTTGGTATGAGCAAGGTGGGTCTCTCAAAGGGGTCCTTGAGATCAGATGGTGATGGATGTTCTAGAAAGTAGATATGCAGTTCAATAATTGGTGCCAGCATCCCTGGCCTCTGCCTTTCCTTATTTCTGTTCCTGTGACTTCAATGGGTGCACAAGGTAGTGTCTACTTGGACCTCCTCCTCATCTTTCTTCTCTTATGCTTCCACCTACACACTTGCTTCTTCCTCCACTTGGCTCTAATGGTGGTGCAGAGGTTTCCAAGAAGATGGCACTAAGGCTGAGAGAGCCTGTACTAAGTCTTCAAAATGATACAGCACATCTCAATTCAGACTAATCAGGTTTCAAGTGCTCAAGAACCACATCTCGCTAGTGGCCACATATTGTATAATGTGGAACTAATTAATAAGTTTCCATTAGTCATCTAGGATCAAAACTTCATAGCCAAATGTTTCCTTTTCCTTTCTATAAAAGCATCAAGTTCTATTTATTCTTCCTTCAAAATCTCTCTCATTAGCACTTTCCTGCTTCTAGTTCTACCTGCTGATCTGTCTAGTTAGTACACTGTCACCAGATACATACACAGTACTTAACAGCCCATGTATAATGTCATTTCTCTTCAGTGGCTCCAGAATGCCTTCCACTTTAGCTGCGAATTCAGGAATTCACACTATCTTGTCCCCACCCCCATACCCGACCTATATCATTCCAACTTTATCATTTATAAATTTCCTAGGAAAGTCTTTATTTTAGGCAAACTATCCTGTTCATGGTCCTCTGCATATGCCTTATACTTCTTTATCTCTGTGTCTTATGACTTTCTACCCACCAAGAATGCCCTTACTCTAGCCTTAACTATCCAAGTCATTACTTCACAAATATTTATGTGTCAGGCACTGTACTATATGCTGAAGACAGAATAAATAATCCTGATCCCAATTTCTCCACCTAAAGAAATTTTCCTTTATATATCAATTATATGTCAAGAAAGTGGAAACTGAAAAAAGAAAAAAAAAGAAATCTTCTTATGTCAAAACAGAAGTGGTTCTGCACTGTTGAGTTGTTCTTTTTTTTTTTTTTTTTTAAGATTTTACTTATTTGACAGAGAGAGACACAGCGAGAGAGGGAACACAAGCAGGGGGAGTGGGAGAGGGAGAAGCAGGCTTCCCGCGGAGCAGGGAGTCTGATGCGGAGCTCGATCCCAGGACCCCGGGATCATGACCGGAGCCGAAGGCAGACGCTTAACGACTGAGCCACCCAGGCGCCCCTGTTAAGTTGTTCTTATAAGATATACAGTGTACATGCCTTATAAGAACACATTGCGCCCTTACAATTTGCTGCCATGCATTGCTAATTTTCAACTTTTCCTATAAATATCTATCTTTCCAAATAGAGGACAGATTTCCTGAAAGCATAGACTAGGGTCATACCAGTGTATTTTCCTTGGTCTCAGTAAGCAGCAGGTACTGAATACACATTTGCTGATGGACAAGTACTTGTAAAAGGTGGAAGGGCCTGCAGGGCAGGAGGAGGACTCTATCTAGAAAAGAGCCTCCCTTCCCAAAATATGCTGACAAACCAGGACCAGAGGTGAGCAGGGAGGGTCTGCAAGAACCCCAAAGCTGAGGAAAGCACTTGGGAAGAGTCATTTTATCAATTTCATTTGCAAAGAAATTCAGAATTGGCAACATTTAAGTTAGGATCAGTTACCCTGTCTTTTGGACCTCAACAACACTGATTAACTTTAAAAATCCCTTCTTGGCTCTAAATGAAAATAATACCACTGTTAATGTTTCAGATACATACATAACATTAGACGTCGAACATAACTCACCACATGTTGTGTTCAAAAACTTTGGCTGGGTCCGTTAAAATCCTTGATCCCAGAGGGACAACTGGGTGATTACCACTTTGGAATCTACGTAGCACCTTTCTTATCCTTAGACAGGAAACAGAATTCCTCCAAATCACATACATCTTAATCAGTACCTGGAGAGTTACAAATGATTAATTAGTCAATATGGATTATACAGTGTATTATTTATCAAATAGCCAAAAACTGGTCCAAAAGGTTTACAACCTGAGAAAAGACAGGAAAACTAAACATTTTTATTTTTATTTTTTTTTATATTTATTTATTTATTTGACACAGAGAGACACAGCAAGAGAGGGAACACAAGCAGGGGGAGTGGGAGAGGGAGAAGCAGGGAGCCTGACGCGGGGCTCGATCCCAGGACCCTGAGATCATGACCTGAGCCGAAGGCAGACGCTTAAAGACTGAGTCACCCAGGCACCCCGAAAACTAAACATTTTTAAATGAAAGTTGGGCATGATAGCTTCTGTCCTGAAGTATTTTCAGGCCAAGAGAAGGAAAAAGAATATTTAGAGTGTGTACCATTGGCTGACATTCCTCATAAGTCACAGCTTTGGCCAACTTTGCTTTGTTTGGTATTTGTTCATTTAATTTTTATCACATAGTCAAAGCATGTCAGCCTAGAATCTGAATTTTGCGTATTAAAAGTTTTTTTAAGTGATTTTATTATTTTGTTTTGGGAATTCTAAGTGAACATATTTCTTGGGAATATTTTATGACCACTAGACCAAAAACCCAAGTATAGTAGCAGCAGAATAAGAAAACAAATCTATTAAATCTCCTTCTCTGGGCTGAGCTGAATAGAATGAAATTTAGTCAAATAATAAGTAAATACTGAAGATATGATCCCAGCAATTCTTAATTCTAACAACCCTGTATACATGTATTTGTAAGAATAGTTAGTAATACATTTGTAAAAATAGATTTCCCTGTACAAAAAATATACAATCCTAGCTCAAGAGGAGAATCATCAGTTGGTTAGTCAAGTTCATCCCCATTTCTGGAAGAACTTAAACATTTAAAGAGTATGTCACCTTAATTATGTACAAATATGTTGGCTTACCATCTTTATGGAAAAGTATCAATAAGAAGCTCTGAAGAGCTTACTTTTTCTAATAAAAATCCGTTGTAAGACTGCTTAGCATTTCATCTCCATTCAGTTGTTCATCACAACATTCAGCCTAATGCTGCAAGCTGCCTGGTAGAAACAGATGCTAAAAGGTGTGTATATATTATACACACTGGAGACTATCTAAGGTACTATTTTGTGTAAAAATGACATGTACTGTACATCCTTTACCAACTTACTGAAAGGCAATGGATTTTAAGATGGTGATTTCTAAAACGAACTGCAGAATGTCAAAAACATCTCACTGTGTTTTTAAACATAAAATTCAAGATTTTCCTTTTGGAGGAAAAAAAAAAAGGCTTAATTATACACCAAAAAGACCGTAATGGTTCCATTCAAATGTGACTAATAGTGATGAGAAACGAAACACTCAATACCTAGTGCAGATCTCCTGTTTCTTGTTTGTTGTTCCTTCTCTGCTAAATGCAAGCTCTTTGGTGGAGGCAGATGAGATTAAATGCTCTGCCTACCACTCCCTTTCCTCTGATGTGCCTTTGTTCTTATCTCCTGCCTGTGTTCCATATAAGACTCTTAACAAAACCCTACCTGCACAATTATTTTTAGAGCTCTTTCTGCACTGAATATTATTCATAATATCTGTATGCTGAAGAGTAGAAACTGATTATACTAGAAAGAGAGACAATTCATGCTCAAAAGTGTAAAATGAAGTAAATATTTTCCACCCAGGAAAGCCAAATCAAAATGAAATTTTAAACTCCAAATAGTCATGTGATACTTATCTATATCTATCCATATAGAGAAGAGGAAGACAGGGAAAAAGAAGATACAAGTTTCTCTCACTATAAATGATCAAAAATCTCCATAGGCAGCTGTTTAGGCAGCTGTTTTTCTAACAAAAACATCTTACCTCATTTATTTATTATCTGTAACAGTCACACACAGCCTTGCACTCCTCCTTGTCTTTTTTAGTATATAAATATGATACATTTATATAATAAATACAGTATAGAAAAATACAGCATAAAATTATATAAATGTCTTCTCAACTAAATTGCAAGCTTCTGAGGGCAGCACCAAGCTGCTTGTGAATTAATTGATTGATAATACAAAAATGATACTTATCTGACATAAATTTAATTAGAAGGAAACTACTTCATATTTTTCAGGGTGGCTCATAAGATCCTTACAGTGTAGAAGAAGGAAGTGACAGAAGAGTGTGACAGTATATAGGCAGCAACCCAGTTACATCTATTACAGTGATTTAAAAGTGTGTGATGAAAAATGAAACACTCAATAGCTAGTGCAGATCTCTTGTTTCTTGTTTGTTGTTCCTTCTCTGCTAAATGGTGGAGGCAAATGAGATGTTATGACTATCATGTTAGCTTAATGTCTACTAGGTCATGGTTCCATTTTGTGATGGGAAAAGAAAAGATGAGCAGGGTCAACCCCAAACAGAATTCTGGTACAGAAAGTTGATTTCTGCCACCAGATTCTTCCACTCTCTTTATGTACCCTCTCTTAACTCTTTTGGCATACCCTAACTTGAATATAAGTTTAATTAAGATATTATTTGCATAGTGAAACTGTATGAAGAAGTAGTATTTTTATTTGAAATAAAACAAGTATAGCTAAAAATATTCCAATCACCCAAAAGAAGGCAGGAAAGGAAGCACAGAGGAACTAAAACCAAAAAGGACAGTAAGAAAACAAATATTAGGATGGCATATTTAAACCCAAGTATATCAATAATTACATTAAATGTAAATGGAGTCCAATTAAAAGACAAAGATGGTCAATTTGTATGAAAAAGCAAGACCCAACCATATACTGTTTATAAGAGAAGCACTTTAAATATAAAGATACAACTATACTGAAATAAAAAGAGATATTATACAAATGCCACATGAGAAAACTGGTGGAGCTATATTAATAATGTTAAAAACAAACCACAGGTCTAAAATGGCATCATTTAGGTTAAGGCCCCAAGTCAGTAAAACAAAACTTAATACCTAACATAACTGCAGTTTTAACCCCCCCAGAAATGTAACCTTTAACCAGTCAACATGAGAATTTCCTGGTCAGCACTAGGGACTTTATTGAGAGGCCCCTTCAGTTCCCCTTAGGAGGGCAACCTTGCCTAAAACAATGGATTCTTTGCTAATAATTTCCTTTTTTCCATTCTTTCTTTACCTTTAAAAACCTTTTTCTTTCTATAGTCCTTTGGAGCTCCTCTCTACTTTTTAGATGGGATGCTGCCCAATTTGTGAATTGGTTAATAAAGCCAAGTAGATCTTTAAAATTTACTCAGTTGAATTTTTGTTATTTAGTAACAAAGTAGACTTAAAAAAACAAAAAGACTGTTATAGAGATAAAAGGGGATGTTTAGTCATGACATACAATCCTAAATATGCATGTACATAATAACAGAGCTTCAAACTATATGAAGCAAAAATGCACAGAACTTTTTAAAAGGAGAAATTAACAAATTCACAGTAATTCTTGGAAATTTTAATACCCCCTCTCAGTAATAAATAGAACATTAAGAAAACTATCAAAAAATCAATAAGGATATGGAAGAATTAAACATTATCAGCTTGACCTAAACATTATCAACAGCCGAAGACACATTTTTTTCAAGTGAACATGAAGCATTTGCCAAGGCACACAGTACATACAGGGCTGTAAGACAAGGCTTAGTAAATTCCACAGTATTTAAATCATACAGAGTATGCTTTCTGGCTATAACAAGATTTAATGTTAATATTTTTGATGAATTCACTCATTAAAAATATTTCTCCTTATCTCTGGTAATAGCTATTTTCTTGAAGTCTACTTTGTCTAATATTAATATAACCCTACCAGCTGTCTTATGCAGTGTTTTATATGTTATATATATATTTTATTATTTTTTTATTTTTTTTAAAAGATTTTATTTATTTATTTGACAGAGACACAGCGAGACAGGGAACACAAGCAGGGGGAGTGGGAGAGAGAGAAGCAGGCTTCCCGCAGAGCAGGGAGCCCGATGGGGGGCTCAATCCCAGGACCCCAGGATCATGACCCAAGCAGAAGGCAGATAGATGCCCAATGACTAAGCCACTCAGGCGCACCGTTATATATATTTTAAATGCATTTGTGTGTTTACATTTAAAGTGCTTCTCTTAAAAAAAACTACATAAAGTGCTTCTCTTATAGGAGCATAATGTTGGTTCTTCCTTTTTTATCCAAACTTTAAATAATAATATGTCTAGAAGGTACCCAAATACTTGGAAATTAAGCAACACACTTTTTTTTTTTAATATTTTATTTATTTATTTATTTGAGAGAGAAAGACCAAGATAGCAGAGAAAGAGCATGAGTGGGGAGGAGAAGGAGAAGCAGGCTCTCCGCTGAGCAGGGAGCCCGATGTGGGGCTTGATCCCAGGACCTGGGGATCATGACCTGAGCCAAAGGCAGATGCCCAACCACCTGAGCCATCCAGGCGCCCCAAGCAACACACTTCTAAATAACCTATAGGTCAAATCTACACGAGTTAGTAAGTCTTAAGGTAAATTGGAAAATATGTTGAACTAAACATCAATGAAATCTTTAAAATATCAAAATTTATGGGATGCACTGGAGCAATGTTTAAAGGAAAATTGATAGTTTTAAATGTTTCTATCAGAAAGGAAGAGAGATCTCAATGATCCAGTTTCAATCTTAAAAAGCTAGAAAAATACTAAATGGTATGCAAAGTAAGTAGATAGAAGGAAATAACAGAAACTAAAGGCAGAAGTCAAAGGTGATTCTTTGAAAAGATTAATAAAACAAATAAGCCTCTGGCAAGACTGATTTCAAACACTTGTGTTTCAGAAAACACAGATCTCTAACAATAGGAATAAAAGAGGGGACATTACCACAGACCCTACAGACACTGAAAAACTAATAAGGAGGTATTATGAAAAATTTTATTTCATTTATTAGATGGGATAAATGCCATCAAAACCACAATTTACCAATAATTACTTACAAAAACAGCACAAGAAA